CCTTGGTCAATGAGAGATCCTGTCTTAAAAAATAAGGTGGTGAACCATAGAGGAAGACACCAGACACCAATCGGCACACTCATGTACACATGCACATAACACACACACACACACACACACACACACACACACACACACACACACACCACACAGGCTGAGTAACTGTGTTTATACTCTTCATAGATGATTGACATTTTATTGATTTTAAGATATATGTTAAGAGTATTAGGCCAGGCAGTGGTGGTGCAGGCCTTTAATCCCAGCACTTGGAAGGCAGAGGCAGATGAATCTCTGTGAGTTTGAGGCCAGCCTGCTCTACAGAATGAGTTTTAGGACAGCCAGAGCTACACAGAGAAACCCTGTCTCAAAAAACAGGGGTGGTGGTGTTGGTGGGGAGAAAACAAAAGAGTCTTAGTGGTACTAGAATACCTCTTATTCAAGAAGAATACAAAGAAATAGAAACCTACAAAGATTGGCTTTAGACATTGCCAATAATCCTCAGTGTTGCCTTGTATCTTCACAAAAGACACTGTTGAGAGTTCACAGGAAAAGTTCGGAAAGAAAGCAATTGTATCTGCATTTGGCACCTTTAGCACTCTGTTACAGGTCCTAGGAAGTAAACCCTCAAGGTTAGGTGACACGATATTACTTGCCAGATGACATCCTTGCCTTTACATTGTTTTAGGTGGTGTGATAGCCCTCTTTGGGGATCCTATTTGTAAAGTAGTCCCCACAAGGCAATCTGACAAGTCAAATGGGGCCTCAAGAGGTATTGTTAACGTTTTACAGCTCCAAGTTAGTCCACTTAGTTTTGTTGTTCTATTGGGACTAGAACTCTCTAGAATCCAGTCCCATTGGGTTCCAGTTGGAAGATCACTGGAAGGAGAAAACTCTCCTCTTGGGTCACTTGGTGTACCTTAATTGTGCATGTTTCCTATCGCCAAGGCTGCTTCTTGCTCTCCCATCAGCAGCCTTATTTCCCACCTTCAGAGCCGTCAGCAGCCACCCCTGCTCCAGACCTGCGCCTACTCCACAGGATCCTCACTCCAGACTCCCGTGCTGCCTAATGTGGGGCTCTCAGAGGCCCTAGGCCTTGGCAATCCCTATCTCCACCATCTGCATGGCCAGCCTGACTAACGGATGGATACTACTTCTACCTGTGTTATCCTGAAGCGGATACCTGTGTTTTCCTGCAGTTGTTACCTGAAGTTGCCACCCGTGTTGTTTTACAGTAGCTACCCCCATGTTTTCCCACAGTTGTTACCTGGGTTTTCCTGCAGTTGCCACCCGTGTGTTTCCACGGTTGCTGTGCTATCCTGCAGTTGTTACCCATGTTACCAGGAAGCTGCTATCTGTGTTTCTTTGTGCCCTTTTCTCCAGCCCTTTCATTGTGACAATTCTCTGTATCAACACCCTCTTCTTAAAACATCTAGTGTATTTCTGTTTTCTTGCCTAGACTGACATGGTTAGCTCAATCCATCTAGAAGATGCAGTCATTTGACCGTCATTTCGGAACACTGGTGGGTATTTGCACTTTCTCTCCATTTTATAGTGAATTCTAAAACCAGATAATTTTTTCTATGTACCTATGAAGAAGTTATTCTGTAACAGTCACAAGGGTCATCATCCATTTTACTGTAGCATATAATTTACTAACACGCAGTTCTCGATGCCATGTGTCAGGAACTTAGTTCCCAAGCACACAAGTGTTGATGAGAAAGAACTTGACCATAGGTTCTAGCAGCTTCAGCGAGGAGTGCACAGCTTGTGGGATCCGAGGCTTCAGGGACTGTTTGCATTTTGAGTTTTTAGAGCCTACAGATTGAGAAATAATGGTGTTCTACAAAGTTTGATGATCAGGGTTTTATAGAGAACACCTGCCACCCTGGCAGGTGCTCGGAACGTGAGTATATTTACCACTTACTCTATTGTGTCTTCAAGAAACATAACCAGGATGAAGTCATGGATCCCAAACATTTTCAGAGTTCACTCAACATTGCACTTTCTGCAGTTACTGGGCGTGTGGGATTGATTTAGCAAAGTCACACGTGGTGAGGGTTTTCCTGTTAATGCTTCACTAAGTGGTGGTTTATAGCTTCCTAGGCTATCCATTCCTCCTGCATGATGTATGAATCCCTGTAGGATGGTCCTTGCAGACACTTTCTTCTCCACAACCAAGAGACATCTACATGCTTTGTATTAATTCATAACTGGTAAGGTGCCATTCTCTCTTAGTTATTCGAACTCTCAAAAGATGAGGACTTAACCTATGGACCTGTGGGACTTGGTTAGGATATGAGGTCAGGAGCTTTCCCAAGTTTCTTGAATTGCACCGCACGCACCTACATGAACAGCCTGGCTGTTGGCACCAGGAAGGGATGTCTGTGCACTACTAGAGAAAGGTATTGATAAAGCACTGGCATCTGCAGTGCCAGGTACTGTTATGCTTTTTACATGATGTGTCTCATTTCTGGTGTAATTTTGCTTTATGTAGTGTTTTCCAGTTTCACATACTTTCAGAAAGATGACAATTCAATCTTATGGTTAAATAGACCTTTATTGTATAATACTATGCTTAACTTATTCATATGATGGATGTGGGCTGAACCTGTAACTTGCTCCTTGTCAATAGTTGCCACAATGAACATGGACATTTACATTAACTGTGTGGTAAGCTGACTGATTCTTGTGTGTATATACCCAGAAGCAATATAGCTGGACCACACAGAAGCTCCACACTGATTTCTGTACTGGTTGCACTGTGTTCCCACTAGCATTCTATAAGGGTTTTACTGCCAAACTCCTGGATCCTCACTGGTTATTGGTTTTCATGATAGTCATATTGACTGCAAAGACATGGAATCTCAGTGGAGTTCCTCCCCCTTCCGCAAGATCTATTTTACTTTGTGTATGAAAGTTTTGCCTGCATGCATGTGTATGTACCACCTGAGTGCCCACTGGATCCCCTGGAACTGGGTTAATGATGCTTGTTAGGCTCCACTCTGGTTTCCTGGGAATCAAACTCAGGTTGTTTGCAAGAGCACCAAGTGTTCTTAACAATTGAGTCATCTCTCCAGCCTTCAAGGTAGTTTTGATTTGCCTTTCTCTGATAAGACTTTTATTCACAGATTTATTTGTATTTTATCCCTGTTAAGAAACTGTCCAACTTACTTGTCCACTTACTGACTGGATGAATTTTCTAATCCACTAGAGGCACAGCTAGCAAAGTTGTTCTCCCACTGTGTGTGCTTTCTTCATGGTTTTAAAGCTGTGCAGAAGCTTCATTTCATGTAATTCCATTGCCAGTCCCATTATTTTTTGTGCTGGAATCCCTATTATAATGCCTTTTCCTATGCCTGTATATTGAAGCATAGTCCCTGCATTTTCCTTAGCAGTTTCAAAGATTCAGACCTCGGTCCATTTTGAATTGATTGTTGTACAGGGCAAGAGATGAGAATCTAGTTTTATTCTGAATGTGGGCATCCAGATTTCTCAGTGGCATTTGTTGCAGTGGCTGTCATTCCTCCAACTGATGCTTTTGGCACCTAAGTGAAAGATGAGGTGGCTGTAGCTGGGTGTGATGAGAGTTCTATTAGCAATCTAAGGCAATGTTTCTGCTGACATTTGAAGGCATCTGAATTTGTATTCCTTGCTATGTAACCAACCCCCTTTTATTTCATTGTCCTTGAAATTACTGTGATCTGGTGTTCTTTTTTTATTTGATCTTTGGGTTTCAGGTTTCATGTGTTTTGATCATATTCACTCTCTCCAATAGTTTTCACTGCATTCATTTTGTGTGTTGTGTGTATGTGTGTCTGCACATACCGCAGTGTTAACTTCAGCCTATAATCTAATGTTCTCCAATGCTGGGAACATTTCTTAAAACACATTATTATTATTATTGTTGTTGTTGTTGTTGTTTTGAGACAGAGTCTCACTGTATATACACGGGGCTGGCCAAAGCCCTCGTGCTCTGCCTCCCCCTCCTGAGGGCTGGGTTATACACAAGCATGCCTGATGAACTATGTGACTAATGTTTTGTTCTCTATTTTTTTTAACTCTCAGATTGGATGTTGAGCATCCTGAGTCATTCATTTTCTTACCTTTTGGTTTTTAAGCTTTTTCAAACTAAAATATAATTACATCATTTCCCCCTTTCCCTTCAATTTTCTTAACTTTTATTCTTTCATATTTTCATTTATTTGCCAGTTTATTTTCTGAGAAATTTCCTTAATTTTATATCTTAAATGTTCAAGTTGAACTACTCATATTCTTTCCAAAAGTTCGTCTTGAAGTGTCTGCTTGTAAGTTACAGTTATAACACCTTTCTGGTTGTGATATCTTCCAATGTTTCTACTTCCCCACCGGTTTGTTTCTTCTAGAGCTCTCTCCACTGCTTTCTTGGCTATAACTCTTAACTGACAGCTCATTTTTCACAACACAGGGCAGAAGACTGACTGCTAGCTCTGGGCACAGGACAGCTTTCATTTTTTTGCTGTAATGTTCTCTAGCCACACAGCTTATCAGCAGGAGGCTTCTGGCATCGGGCTCTTCCTTCTTCTTTTCACCTGCAGTAGCCACCTTACCATCCTGTTAGGATGGCTGCTGGGAGATGTGAGAAAAAAGGATGTGGTCTTTGAATTCTCCCAATTTTGAGGATTGCCCTCCTTCCACCTATTGCATATGGCATTTCTCAGTCAGAGGACCTGTTTACATACCCCATATAAACAGTCCACGTGCATTGTATTGAACAGTTACAGTGTGTGTGTGTGTGTGTGTGTGTGTGTGTGTGTGTGTGTGTGTGTGAGCATGCACACATGTGGAGGTCAGGTAACAACACTGTAGAGTCAGTTCTTCCTCCTTTCACCTTCATATGGATGGGTTACAGGGATGAAAATTAGGTAGCAGCCAGGTTTGCATGGCAAGTGCCTCCATCCAGTGAGTATCCTGCTGGCCCTGATGCCGATAGGTGCACCGTTAAAGAATGAATACTTCACAGCTTGCTTGTGTAACATTTTATTCCTTGTATATTGCATAGTGAGAGGAGCAGAGTCAGGAGACTCTTGGTCTGGCTCAAGAACTAACCAGTATGAAGTGGTTAAGTTGCTTAACTTTGTTAAACTCTTATTTCCTCATTGGAAAGATGGAGATGATAACATGTACTTTATAAGCCTGCTAAAGATGAGATAGGTACATGGTTTTCCTGTCAAGTATCTGGTCAGACTATTTCTAGAGTTTGCTACTACTAGCCCCCTGTTCATCACCTCAATGCTAAGTGGTCTTAATAAATGCATTAAGACAGCTGGTACCAATAGAACACATCAATTCTGAATACTAACAATTGTAAAAGAAAAACATACTAAAAATGGCCCTATCCTTGAATTTTAGTATAGTGGCTTTTTAAAAAATATAAAAACAACATAATTTATCTATACTATGCCATCAGAAATTCCAATTTCACTTAAAGTATTTTTTCCTTAACCCTACTCACAATGAACACCTATGTATGTGAAAACCCCAAGATTACACACGAAATTACTTTGCAGGTTCCCCATTGGCATAACATAAGTAAAAGACATAATATGGGCAGTTAAATACTTTTCCCCCCAAACATTAGGGATCATGAGATATATGAAGATTAATTTCTTGTGCATTATCCCTAATGCAAAAAAAAAAATCACAGGTATATTATACTGCTTGTCAAACATATGGTAGTCACACCTAGACATTACACATGCCTGCCAAGGCTTTGTCCACCATCAGCACTTCAGCACAAGCCCATACAACCATCCGCAATGGAAAACATAAATTCCCTTTAAGGCAACCCTGTGTGAAACTGTCAGAAAATACTTTGTTAAATGAAACTGCATGTGCTGAACCCCTAAACACATTGCCTGTAGCCCCTAAAGTACGACTGTGTAAAGGTAAACAAAATGTTCACACATTATAAAAAAAAACAGCTGCTCTGCAACCTTCCTTTGCTAAAAGTTAGAAACATTACACCACTCCAGCAAGAGATTAATAAATAAGGATTAAATATTCTATCTTACAAAAACATACAGAACGGCCAATGTCAAAGTGAAAGGCTTGTTCGATAACTTCTTATCAAATTATGTTCACTAAGAAGGAATAAGGCCTGGTATAAAATGACAGACTGCTCACTAACCTCTCTGAAGATAATCATGTGAGTTATTTAAAAAAACCATGGCACCTTGTTACAAACATTATTTTTTTTAAAGGACTGTGTTTCCTGGAACTAGAGGACTATTCGTCTCATAGCTTTTATTAAGCAAACTTGATATAACCACCACACAGTGGCAAGAGATTGACTAGCTGTTTCCAGCTACAGAAAAATACTGAATTCTATCCTAATGTACAGATCATTTGATATAAAACCCACAACAATTAAAGCAAGTCATACTGCAGTCTATAGTGAATTCCCTTAAAACACTCTTGCTTTCAATGGAGTATATTTGTCTTCTCGTCACTTGGAATTTGTTTCTGTTGCTTAGTAACTATTTTCATGCCCAGCTAAGATGTAGAGATTGCTGTGTGCTGTGGGGTTTTCTGTTGGTCTGCTTTCCAAAACAACAACCCTGAAATGAAACCAGAACAAAAAGCGTTAAAGTGTTGAAAACAGGGTTCAGTGTTCGCACAGTGTCAAACCAGTTATCACCAGCTCGCCTGCCATAAAATTACATAAAGGTCACAGACATACAGCCAAAGTCCTTACTGTATTTCAGAACTTCAGGCACAACTGAGTAGCAATTGTTTTATACACAAAGTAATGAAATGGTCAGAGACAGTCTCACCTTATTCCAATTAAACCCAACTCCGATTACTCAGATATGCCAACAACAGGTGTGACAATGCCTTAGGAATTTATGCCAACAGGAAGAAGGGCTAGAGAATAAACAGGACCCTAAGAGGCCATCTGAACTGACTGCTCAGGGTCTTTGATAACAAAGGTTTAAAATAAAGACTGGAGTCAGGTGGTGGTGGAGATGTATGCCTTTAATACCAGCCAGTTCAAGGCCAGCCTAGTCTACAGAGTGAGTCCCAAAATAGGCTCCAAAACTACACAGAGAAACTGTCTCGAAAAGCCAAAAAAGAATAAAATAAGGGATATTCCACACAGAAAAGGAAGTCTAGAGGGCAAATGGAGGTGACAGTGAACATATACTGGATACTTTTGTAGCGTGTGAATCTTATGCAATTGGCATATGACTTTTGACAGCAATAAAAATATGCCTTGTGCACCGTGGAAATGTAGAGAAAAACAAAATCACCATTTGCCCAGTTAACCACTACTAACAAGAAGCAGGTAAAGGGGCTTGCTGAGGAGCCCAACTACCTAACTTTCATTCTTGGGACCCACATGGTGGAAGAAAAGAAGCAATTCTTGTAAGCTTCCCTCTGACCTCCAGATGAGTGTTATAGTGCACCTACATGGGCATGTGTGCACACACAGACACACTAAAATATAAGAGAGAGAGAGAGAAAAGAAAATATAAAAGCTTAAATATATTTGACAGTGAGAAAAGCATTAGCTGTGAGGTGTTACCCTCTACCAGCAGAATTCTCAGAATTAAAGACCTGCACTTCACCGGCCAGTCCCTCCAGCAGGAGGCAGGCGGCTCCTCCGGGTCCTGCTGACTCCTGTTTTCTCACAGAGTCAATTACTGTGCTTTTGTGCCTGTGGCTTACCTTTTCCTATTCACTAAGGCAGCCATCACTTCCCAAAAAACGCCCCTTTCTCCTTAAAACTCCTTCAGAGCCTTTAGCACCATTAACTCCATTTTCCAGCTCCTTCCCCATGCACCTAACACTTGAACAACGATGGATGGGACTACCTAATTCCTTATAATTAAGACTATGATCCAGATATTAAAACTAACATCAAGTTTATGTAATACTTGAAAGAGAGCAACACACCAACAAGACATGATGGAACTTAAGGGACGTGAAGTCATGTGTGAATACTACTATCTCCACATTTTGTCTTGGCTGAATATAGGTGCCTCTCAAAGCACAACCCTTACCCTGAAAAGCCTGTGAAGCCAACAGACCAAATACAATTCACTCTCTCAATACAAAAAATTTAAGTTGATGAGCCCTCTAGGTATTTTGACTAGAACCCAACACTGGCTGCAGTGTAATCAAGAGTGTGATTCTTGCTACTTCCACAAAATTATATTACTAGAACCGACTGTTACCTGTCTGATCCCAATAAGCGGAAAACTCTCGTCTCATCTGAAATTTCCTGGGTGACCTACGGCAGAAAACACTTGTCAGTAACACTGTAGCCCGGACAGTGCTTACACAGTAATATAACAGTCACTTAAATATAGCCATGAAAGAGAAGGAATAGTATTTCAGAGATGTAACTCCCCAAATCAAACATTTCCAGTGAGTTTTTGACTGCCTATCAGTAGAAATGGGTTGATGTTTACAGAGCATCTAGTCTGGGCCCTATTTCCCTTAAGAACTCAGTGGGATATGCTTTTGAATTCTTCCATTAGGTACAAGGTCATCTAAGTCTTACTTTACAGTGGGAGCTATTGGGGAATCCTGTTATTCATTCCCAAGTTTGTCATCTAGTGTTAGGTGACCCCTTCTGCAGCTCTCTGCATTCTGCAAAAGCTGCACCACTAAGCAAAGCACTCCCCAGAGCGCGGGGAGTATGGGTGTGACCTCTATCCAAGAAGGGCGACGGGCAGTGCAGTGCATAGGGCTCACTCTCCCTCCTCTAAAGGAGGCTTCTAAGGTGCGCTCTGTACCACTCCTTGGTGCTCATACTGAGTCCTGCTGTACAGTAGATGCCCACTTGTCCCCCCTTTTCTATGTTCCTCACCACATCACTTGTTTTCTAGAATCTGTTTCTAGATAAACTACCTTCTCTTGGGTTGTTATCTTGGGTTGGTCCTTGGAGAAACTCAAACTACGTGGCTATGCTTAGTAGAAAACAGTCTATTAACAGGAGTTTATAGTCTGGAAAGACAGAAGGAACGTCAATCTGTAAACAAGTTCGCTGCTATATACTCCAGGGAGCTAGTTTTCATGGTACGAAGCTGACGGACGTACTCTAATTACTGTGGAATGTTACTTCATGCAGAGGTTAAACTCCAACCAGGCTCCCATCAGAGGATGAGAGCTCCAGCACAAAGACACAGGTGCAGAGTGGAGTTCAAGTGAGATGCACTACAAGCAGGCAGCCACATGGCTGGGCACGTGGATTAGCAGAAAGCACATGCCTAGCATGCCAGAGTCCCTGGGTTTGAGTGCCCCAAAGATGGAAATGACACAATGAAAACAGCATCTAGGAACAATTAGTATGGCTGGCATGCTGGTAGTACGCATCAACTTTAGGGAAAGCTTGCCTTGAAAACCAAACCAAAACAAAAAAGGAAGGAAGGAAGGAAGGAAGGAAGGAAGGAAGGAAGGAAGGAAGGAAGGAAGGAAGGAAGGAAGGAAGGAAGGAAGGAAGGAAGGAAGGAAGGAAGGAAGGAAGGAAAGAAGGAAGGAAAGAAGAAAGGAAGGACAATTAGCATTGAAGCAGTAAGTAGGACTGTAGATTTCACTAAATACAGGGACCTGATGACATTTAGTGACAGGGGTCAGTGAATAAACCAACACATTCAAAGATAACTGGTTTATACCATTTTTTTTCTAGGAAGTAGAAATACTTATTTACATATAAATAAGGGTACAGATAATCTAAATTCAAATGCGAGAAAATTCCATGCTTTTTGGTAGATTTATGAACTTTGGCATAGAAAAATCACACCTCTGGGAAACACTCCCATCAGAGTGGAATTCCTCCCTCGGGGTGGAAGCCAACTCCTGCACTTTGGCATCCTGATCATCTCAGCTGAAAGTGACCTTGAAGACCTTTCCCATCCATGCGCTCCCATTTAGCTAGTGATGGGACATGTAAGAGTGCCTACTCACTGGATTATTTTGAGCTTTAAACATGCTAATATTTGTAAACTGCCTGGAACATAATAGGTCTTATACATCATCATTTATAAAAACAGTCTTCAACATTTTGGAGTTCCTTGTGGCTACTTGGTATTTATAGCAAAATATAAAAGTGAACATATGGGAGACAGACAGACAGACAGACAGACAGACAGACAGACAGAGAGAGAGAGAGAGAGAGAGAGAGAGAGAGTCCAGGTTTGCATGCTGCCGCTGCATGACATTAAAGGTGCTAAACAGGGCAGTGTGACTCAGAGAGGAAATGCATAAAATGAACATTGAAACCCTTGTGTGGGAGTCAATGGAGGAAATCTGAGAAAAACTGACCTCATCCGATTTGAAGCTTTTACCCTGCATCCCATGTTTCCAGAAAGCCAACACGCTGTCTTGAAGGCACACTGAAAAAGATGAGGGGAAAATGAAAAGGAAGCACAGATATCCCCCAACTGTTTTTAGGAGAAGATTTATTTTTATTACTTTTAATTACATGTATGTGAGCATGTGTGTGGTGTGTGTATGTGTGTGACTGCAGGTGCCTGAAGAGACCAGAGGCAAAGGATCCCACTGGAACTGGAGTTACAGGCGGCTTTGAGACACACAGATGCTGGGAACCAAACCTTGGTTGCAGTCCACGGTCTTAAACACTGAGCCATCTTCCTGGCCCCTCCCTAACTGTGTTTAATAAATGATAATGTAAGACTTTTCAAGTTTGCTCAGGGCAAAATTCCACTGTCTAGACCATTGCTGCTCAACATTTTTGTGACTAAGGCGTGTCTAAATTCAAGTAATTTACTGAGACAGTTAAGCAGCCTTCAAAGACGTATGTCACAGGCATTCTTCCAACATGGGCCGACTCTGATAAGCTGGCTATTGGTATACTAATTTCCCTTCCATAAGCTGTATCTTCCATTTTAAGTTATTAAAACAATGAAAACATGTAGTTAGGTTTTTGGGTTTAAAAGGAGTCATTCAAACAGCTATCAACAATATAAGTTTTAAAAAATAAACTTGCTTCAAAACTGAAAATCTAACCACACATTGAATATTATGATCTCAGTCAATTGCTAAAATCTTAGTATTTCACTGAACATTCTAGTAAATAGAATTAGAGAAACACAAACATTACTAAACATAATGGTGAAAAAAGATAGAAAATTACTACTGCCTGCCTGCCTGCCTTCTTCCCTCCCTCCCTTCCTATTTTTTGTGTTAGGGAGAAAATCCAGGGTTAGTGTATGCCAGACAAGCATGTATTTCTTATTAGAGTAGTAAGGACATGGTAAGTCTAAGAATGTCTGGGACATAATTCAACTTAATAAAAACAGAAGTATTTGACGATGACAGATCACATGTGTTTCACTAGTTGTGACAACTGAAGAACCTAGTTACTTGTCTAATTTTTGAGACATGATTTAATGGGACTCTCTCTGAGAAGATGCTTGTAACCATTTTAAGATTTATTTGGATGAGGTGATGGTAATCTAGGAGGAAACTTTGTATAACAATTAAAATTCTCCCAATAATGTGACACTACGATGTCAGTTCATCTCAACTCAGATAAGGAGGACTGAGGATCTACCAGATTCCTGCTTGAAAATGTGATGTCCTAGGTCCTGACATGCAGCACAGACAGAGTATATAATGTAGTAAGGAGGAAGCAAGCTTCCAAAATCTTTTCCATCTGGCTCTTCAGATAGCTTAGGCTTCTGCTTCAGTAAGTTACATTTCCATCACAAGCAAGTATTTTTCTGTCAGTTGTCCCACAAGAGCACAACACGTTGTATTTACTTTTGGTGTTAGGATACTGCCCAGGGTCCTCATGCACTCCATCACTGAGCTATGCCCTGTGCCCCTCAGCCTCGAGGATACAGCAAAACTCTAGTTTAATATGAGAACCCAGGTTAGACAAACCCAGAAAGTTTCTAGCTAGTTAAAAGCAATTTTAAAAGCACATACAAGTAATTCTATGATATATGTGTCTGTGTGTGTATCCTTTTCTTTCATGGTAGAATCATATAATCGTCTAAAATATTTGGATCTATAATATTTTTCTCACAACTTCTACTTCTCCTTTGGAAAATGCTGACATACCAGCAAAAAAGATGGAAGTGGAGTTATAATTAATTTTTTGTTATTCGAGGCAGTATTTCCCTATACAGTCTGGCTTAGAATTAGACCAGGTTAGTCTCAAACTTACAGAGACCCACCTGCCTCTGCCTCCCAAGTGCTGCGGTTTAAAAGTGTGTACCAGCACACTCAATCCTATAATGCTTAAAAAAAAAATCATAAGATCAATGAGCACTCTAAATTAAAATACTAATAAGGAAAAAAGTTAAAAATGACACATTCCTTTCTAAAGCCTCAGGGAAACTTGTTATTTATTTATATTTTTAAAAACCTTTTATTTTATATGCATGAATGTTCTGCCTGCATATGTGTGCCACATGTGTACTTGTTGGATACCCAGGAACTGGTATGGTTGTAAACTACCATATGTGTGCAGAGAATTGAACCTGGGTCCTCTGCAAAAGCAACAAGTGCTCCTAAGTGCCGAGCCATCTCTCCAGCCTCAAGATTTATTTATTTTTATTTTATGTGTCTGGGTGTTTTGTCTGCATGCAATGCCTGTGTATTACAAGTGTACAGGGCCTGTGGAGGAACAGAGAATCACGATCCTCTGAAATGGAAGTTATAGAGGGATGTGAGCTGCCATGTGGGTCCTTGGATTTGAACCCAGGTTCTCTGGGACAACATTCAGTGCTCTTAATTTTGGAGGTATCACTTCAGCCCCAAAGTTACTATTTATAGAGAAACAGATTTAAAACAGTAACCATCAAGACACAGAACTATACACCAGTGATAAAGAATTACAGTGGACCTAACAGAGAGGTCACTTCACACAGGCGCCTTCATGACTTGGAAAGAGCTGGGAAAAGCATAATTCACTCAGTACAACAATGGTAATATTGAGCATATTTAAAAACCAGTACCCAGGAAACAAGGACACAGGCAAGACCAGTGCTGTCTACTCTGGTGGCAACTAGCCATAAAAGTCACATCAAAAGGGGACCATAATCAGAGTGAATTATACATATGAAACTGACAATAAAAAAATCAAAATGAAATTAGTTGACAATTTAGAAAGTACTCTGGCACTTGCCACATGAACTAGTACATTTGATCACAGGGTTTCTATCAGCTTGGAGCTACGAGATGGCTGCTGGTCTACACAACCCTCAGGAACGAATGCACAAAGTCCCCAGATATCAGTAACAGAAAGGCACTCACCAACAGATTCAATGCGGAAGTCAAAACTCAGCTCAGAGGCAAGCTTCTTACTTGACTTTAGTTTTCCTTGTAGATTTACAATTTTTACAAATTCTTAAGAGAAATTAAAAAAAGGTCAAGACTGGAAATGAAAATTTCCTAAAATAAGTATGGTATATTTTACATGGGTACTGAATAATATTCTTAATAAAGTTCAAAGACTTATCTTGATTGGAGCATGCCTAGTGAAAAACTGGAATTAATGTTTTAAAATATACATAATTATAGAGCTGTTTATTTACTATTTTTAAAATTTTTAAAATTAAATAGACACAATATCCTTATTTTTAAGAAGTGGCTACTTTGATGCTCAAATATTTAGCGATGAGTTGTGATTTTTTTTCCCTCACAAATCCCATGGTATTTGTCAAGTAGTACTTGCAGCAATTCCTGCCTGCCATGAAAGTTCCAGGTCTGCCAGGGCACACTGGGCCAGAAGCGGCACTGCCAAGGGCAGTAAACTTTGGGATGGGGAAATGCAAATAAGCTTCTTTCCCTCTGCTTTCTGATTTCCTCACCTTAGTTCAAAGAGAGCTGAAAAACACCCTTTGTTTCTCAAGTATCCACTCCCATGATTTGAGATTACAAGCCTTGTCTCCACTGCTGTCTACCAAAACCAACTTATAAGTCACAGAGCTGGGAGGACATTTTCTGAGGCCACTTCTTTAACAACAGAAATTGGTTTAGTCAGGACACAGAGTCCTGTTGATCAATGTGTCCCTAAAATTATGTTAACATGTATGATACTAAGTATGAGGTCTTCCTTGATGACTCACAAATTTGCAGGGGGGTTAGTGTGAAAGCCTCAGTCCTCCTGAATACTTGTGAGGCTTACCTGGTTAATAACAAAATTTGTATTGATGCAGTTTCCTTAGAGGTAACTTGGTGTTTAGAGCCAAGTCCCTAACTAGGGGACAACAGTGAGTGAAGCCCTGCAGGCCTGGTGTACTACTCAGTTATCACCTTACATGATCTTACACATACAGGTAGTTCAGTCACTAAAAGCAAGCTGAAAACAGGCTAAATGATAGCAAATATAGCCATGTCTCAAACATAATCCCAAGCCTGGGTACAGTACAGCCTGCATGAAGATAAAAGGAGTACTAAGAACCAGAGTGCCTCATCTGCAAGATCAAAATAACACTGCTGCTAAGTTGTTTTTTCCTGCCTTCCCTGTTTATGTTGCAACTCTTCCATTAATAGTATCTCTCCTACATCAAAAGATCAAGGTTAGTAGATGCAAGTGTCAAATGCCTGAGTATATTAGAACTGACATGTGGACTCCTTTAAACCCACCTTCACTGACATGCCCTCAAAAGTTCATGTTAAATGCTTTGTTTTGTTTTTCTTTTTCTTTTCCTTTTTTTGAGACAGGATCTTAGAACTCGCTCTGTAGACCAGGCTGGCCTCTAACTCACAGAGATCCACCTGCCACTGCCTCCCTAGTGCCGGGTTTAAAGGCGTGCACCACCACTGCCCAACTTGTTAAGTGATTCTATGATCACAGTTTACTGTAACCTTCTGTTCTCATTAATTACAGCGAGAGGAAATAGTTTATACGGAAATTCTCTAAGATGTGGGGCAGTGCTAACATCCCCACACGAGCCAAGTGTCAAATGAAAGGATGGCACCGAGGAACATGGCAACTGAGTCTCTTGTTGCAGTGAACTTAGCTGCTTTGACAATACAACCAGGTCACTTAAAGAGGAAGAGCTTGAGTGACAGTGTCAATTCCATTAAAGGGTTGCTTTATGAAGTAGTACACTCAAAATGAACTTTAAAATAATACTCACTGTCTAAACACACCAAAACAGTGTCTCTCTCCAACTGAGTCACGTGAATGGAATCCAGTTGTTGGCTGCCTAAGTGGGAAAACATTACAGTTAGTAACATGCTTCAGTAAATCAGTCTGAATCTTGCTGTGATACGCTCTTTAAAATATGGCATAAACTGCATTTTGTCATATCTTTAAAAAAGTATGTACATCATTTTAGGAGAACAAATGTCAGCTCTAACATAGATAAACCAAGCTAAAAAGTTCAGTGTTGCTTTAGTTACTGCTTTTGTTCTGGAAAGGTGGGCTACAGTGATGGGGGAAGCCCTTCTGTATACTGTGAATATGTTTCTCTTATTGGTTGATGAATACATTCTGCCTGTCTATTGGCCTTCACCATAGTGACGATGACGAAGAAGGCAGACATGGGAAAGGGAAGGAAGATGCACACATCAGTTAGCTTTTGTTCTACACTTAGAAGAGATGGAATCCTTGAGGTCCAATGGGAATTCCACTTCCCCAAGCCTCAAAAAGCGGTCCAAATACCCAGAAATGAGCTCAAACTGGACTACAGGAGGATTTCTGGTAGATAAAAGCCAGCACTCTCCAGGAACTTGTGAAATTGGTTCCCATCTACCAAAGCAGTCATTTCCCTTACTTCTGGTAGAGGAGACATATGGCTACCTGTGGTGCCTATCAACATAGCAAAGTGCATGCTGGTCTCCAGGCTCCTTCAGCATCACAAGTGCCCATTAGACATTTCAAAGTCCATGCTAGCATCCTAGCCTTTCTTACCTGCTCCCCTCCCCTGAACTCCCTCTAGCTCATGGGCTTTCCTCCCCACCCCAGCTTATAACTTTCCTTATAACCCTGCCACTGTTGGTAGACTTCTCCCACTATGCTTTCTCTACTCTCCATCCCCTGCTCTTCTCCCCTCCCTTGCAGATAGCCCTGGCCATGTCCAGTCTCCTGGCCATATTCTTTTTCTCTCTGCTGTGGACTCTTCCAGATAACTCTGGCTGTTGTCTTTCTCTCCCATCTACAGCAAAAACTTTCCCCTTAACCATACCATGGAGCGGTCCTGTCAGCAGTCTAGACAGCGGACACATGGTGCTCCTTACAGACACATCAATGAGCAGCACAGCAAACAGCCTCGTCAACACTACCACCAAGTTATCTTCAAGGCAGCACACCAAATGTTCTTTTTCTCAGCTAACCCATGATCATCCACCCACTCAACAAATACCAAGGAGTGACCATGCAATAAAGGACCATGTAATAATGAATCAGAACCTGCGAAGGAAGGACTCCTGGAACAGAGCTCATCTCAATGCTATAGCTTTGCCAGCTGAAGGCTCTTGGCTCAACAACAGACATGGCTGGGAATTAGATTAATGATTACCCATGAAAACGAAACCTAATGAGGACAAAAGCTGGACTAGACAGGGCATCTCACCTGTGTGGAAGGGTGACCTGATGATGACCTCAGAGGCTGGGCTCTGCTCAGGAAGTAATTTTTGGTCTGTTTTTATTTTAGCTGGGACAATGTTACAGGTGGATATAATATGACCTCAGGCATTAGAGCATAACAAAATCTCAAAAACCAACTCAACTTCTGAGGTTCAAAAGAAGATTCAACAAATTTCCAGCCTTAACGAGTATATATAGCTCCCAACACACCATCTGGAAGAAAGACATTGTACATCGCCACCAAGTAATATACAATGATCTTTGATACCACAACAACCAGCAAACACACTGTGGGACTATGTAATAAAGATGGCTTGAGTTTTTATTTTGTTATTTTTAAAAATGACCATGCTTTTGTTGTTATTTTCAATTCTTTTTGAGACAGGGTTTCATTATGTAACACTGCCTGCTCTTGCCTCCAGAACGCTTGGATTAGAGGCATGTACCATCATTCCCAGCCTAATCATGTTGTTTTAATTAAACTGATACATAGCCACTTTTTGAGCGCTACTTGCTTATTGGGAACCATTTCTATCTAGGCTGCTTACTTTGGCAATAGGAAGGCAATGCTACTTCAGTCCTTTCTGTGAGCTTCATGGGAGGCACACACCCAACTGCAGAAGCTAGTAAGCCGTACAGAGAAAAGCAAGGTACAGGTGCAAGTGGCTTTCTTCTTTACCCTGACTGGAAACTACAGCTTGGTCCATACAGGGGGAGTTCACACAGGGCTTGACAGCTTGTTAAACTTTCAGGAAATTTATGAGCCACATGACCACTGGTTTGAAACTGACTATGACGGTAATGTTACTCTTCAGGTAACCACAACAAATGGCTGCACCCATAGATCATGTTGTAAAACTAGGGCATCTCTGGTCATACTGATTGTCTTTGTAATGTGTGGGATCAAACACAGTGCTTGTGCACACTAGTTATAGACATTTCCACTGAGCTCTGTTCCAGTCTTATTCTGAAGGTGACATTTGTGTAGACGTTAAGCTTTCCTAGTTGGGATGCTTAATGAGCTCTTAGAACTCAAGTCTTTACGTTATCAAAAGCCAAGAAGCACCAAATGAAACACTCTAATAGATGTCCTCACAACGTAGTGAAGACTGTAACAATAGTCTAATAAAACCACCACAAACTGCTTGAATTCTGTTTAAAAGTGGCCTAATAAATCATGGTTGATAAATGACAAAATAATACACCAGCACAACAAACAGAAAAATAAGGATTCCTTTTCTCATTTCATATATTCCACAGATTCAAAAAATAAATTCTTCAAAATCCTCTCTGATAGTGCTTTTGAAACAGATTTACTTGTTGTGAACCAGTCACCCTGTGGGGTTAGAGAACATCAGAAATCACTCCTACCCAACCACAGCCCCAGACTGTGAGAAAGATGGGGAGAAAGCCCCATCTTTCTCCCATGCCCCACCTCTGTGGACTTCTTTGGGGCCTAATCCTATTTGACTTGCAAAGATTGTTTTCAGTGTCTACAGGTGAGAATACATGGCATCTGTCCTTTGATATTTCACTTTTTCCCATTGTCAAGTTAGCTTCATTCTCATTCTTGTCCGATACCGTGTGCCCCTATACACAGCCCAGGGTAGCCTGACTCAAAATTATCCTTCCACCTTCATCTCCTGAGTACAGAGATTACAGGCATGTGCCATCACACTCAACATAGGTTCACAGTTTTGATGGTTGAGTAATACTCCACAGTGTAGACATACCATATTTTCTTTATCCACCAGCTGAACTCAATCTAGGGTGATTCCCTATCTTGGTTATTGGGGAGAAAGCTGCAATAAATATGCACGTGCAGCTCTCTTCCCAGCATTCTGGTTTTATTTTCTCTGGAAAGGAGTGTATACCCAATAGTGAAACTGCTGGGTGATGAAGCAGTTCTATTTCTAGCCTTTGAAAAGCCCCTAAACTCTTTCCACAATGGCTGCACTAACTTTATCCTGGCCAGTAGCTCCTCAGCATCCTCAAAGGAGTTTGCTACTGCTGTGGTTTAGGTGGTATCTCATGATATCATGGACTTGCATATTGTTTTCATTTAAAAAATCTATTCTTGACTGATTTTTCCAAACTTCAACTGTGAGAAAAGCTGTCCTTCCAGAGCTTTCACTGAGACACGTGCGATAAACTCCTACATTCACCAGCCAATCGTAGAAAAAACAATGAATATTCCAATGGAAAAGCTTGCAGGCTACCAAGAAACTTCTACCCATGTCTTCAGAGCACACCCACTGGTTGTAATAGGGTGTGTGTGTGTGTGGGGGGGGTTCGTAGGATAAATAGGACAGGGAAAAAAGGGAACTTTCTTAGCTTGAGATACATAACTATTTAGTAAGGCCAAAGACAAACTGATAACAACTCAGACTTGAAATTTAAAAACAGTTTATTTAATTTATGTGTATGAGTGTTGGCCTGTATGTATGGCTGTGCACTACATGCATTGCCTGGTGCCCATGGAAGCCAGAAGAGGGCATCAGAGCTCCTGGAACTAGAGCTTCGAGCCATCTTGTGGGTGCTGGGAAATTGAACCTGGGTCCTCTGCAAAGACAACCAGCTCTTAACCCTGGAGCCATCTTTCCAGCCTGTCAACAACTGGGACTTTCAAATGTCAAGAATATTTAAAACTCCTCAGTAAAATAATTTGTATAAAGTTTTCTTGGGCAAGGAACCAAGGAGATGCTTGCTGTCACGCCTGATGAGTTAGTGCAATCCCTAGAACCCACGTACTGTAAGGGGAGAAACTAATGCCCACAAGCATGTGTGCCACCTATATTAAAAAAGTCCTGGGGCAAACAGAGATCACAAACTACATGTAGGTAATCTCTTGGCTAACATGGAAAATTATGCTTGCATTTGTATGTAGGAGCCCACGATGGTTGAATTGAATCTTCTCATCTAGTACAGGCAAAAGCATGGCTATCTGAACATAAAGTGAAAAACACAAAACACTCACCCGCACCGATTTCTGTAAACCAGGAAGATGCAGAATTCAAGTTGATTGTCTCAAACTGAACTACTTGGTTTGACTCTGTGCCTTTGCTGATAGCTACACAAACCATGGGGTACTCCTGTTCTGGTATCACCAACATTTCAAAAACATTCAAGGGACTTGGTAAAGGAAAATCAAAGTGCTGCAACAAACAACAAGAGAAAAAGGAGAAATGTAGCAATCTTCTGTTCATACTGTGTTGAGTGAAGTCAGCTGTAAGTCTGGTGGTTACCCTGCCTCATCCTATACAAGCTTGCCTCTGTGATGATGAGCATTGAGTACCTTTAGAGAAACTTAGAGGACTGGCCACACTAATGTTTGTAAATATGATGATTCCAGAAGCTTATTAAGTAACAGTAAGTTACAGAGAAGATATTACTAAGAACAGAAAACATCACACACAACAGTTCCTACAAACTCTCAAGGGGCTGTCCCTAATAGTAGTAATTACAGCTTTAGCCTATTACATTTATGCACAGTTCTTTGTCAAAAGGAAAATGTAAGAAAGCCACATGTACCTTAATCAACATGAATTTCTGCATTGGTTCATACCACTGAAGCAGAACAATTCCAGACTGCAAAGCTCCGCAGAGGTATTTATGTCCTGTGTAAGGGTTTCTAACTGAAAAGAAAGAAAAAATAAAAAAAAAAAAAAAACGCTAATTACATGTAAACGCTGAAAGCTTTTGTGAGAAAATAGTTTAGCTAAAAGTGACAGCTGAATTACCTTCACCAAAAAGCTAAGAGGCCTCTCTTTCTTTTCTTTTGAGACAGGGTCTTATTTTGTAGCTCGGGATGGCCTGGCATTTACTCTGTAGACCAAGTTGGCCTTAACTCACAGAGATCCACCTGCCTCTGTCTCCCAAGTCCTGGCACTACAGATGTGCACCCCCTTGCCTGGTCCAATTTATTTATTTATTTATTTATTTATTTATTTATTCATTCATTCATTCATTCATTCATTCAGTGAAGGCAGTTGCTGGTGTTAGCAAATGCCAGTGGTGTGTGGTAAATCAATACTGCAGTACAGAAGAAAAAATTATTTGAAGTAGCTATTTTTAGCTGACAAACTGCTAACCAAGATGATGAGAATGGATAGAAAATAAAAAAATATTATAGCCTTTCATTTTTTATTTAAACAAAAAATATCAATTGGAGAGAATACATTTCTTTCTTTCTTTCCTTTTTTTTTTTTTCCCCCCAAGACAGGGTTTCTCTGTATTGGTTTGGAGTCTGTCCTGGAACTCGCTCTGTAGACCAGGCTGGCCTTGAACTCACAGAGATCTGCCTGTCTCTGCCTCCTGAGAGCTGGGATTAAAGGCGTGCACCACCAACACCCGGCCCATATATTTATTTTTAAATGCCTTTAATATGCTGAGTACTTAACTACAAGGAGTTTATGAGATCTATTAGTTCTAAAACAGGTAAGCTACTCTATAAACCCAAAATCTGCTTCTAAATAAACTGAAAGGATAAAATATCACAGGTCTAGGGACAACTGAAACTACTAAGGAATGTCCCTATGGCAGAGCAGCTTGAGGGATGATGAAGATAATTTATCATGAATGCATGTATTAGTTCATCTTGCTGTAACACCCTTGACTCAAATCTACAAAAATTCATCTTGGTCTGTTTTTTTTTCTCAGTGTGACTCCCAACCACCACAATACACAATGGTTATGTGAGCAGGTTCTTGCTTTAAGTTCTATATAACTGTATCTCAGGACTGTAAGCTTCTAGACCTCTCTGAGCCATAGATCTTGGGACGGTGACAGATACATGACTCTCCTTAGGAAGCCGAAATCTGGTTGTATCATCACTGTGCAACATCTCAGTCAGACCAGGCTTGAGTGTATTACGATGGCTCTAGGGACTACACCACTTGGTGACACGCCACTTAAGTACAATAGTTAAATCACCCAGTGACACATACACACCATGAAGTGACACATAACTGTAGACAGAGCACATTGTTGTTGAGTATTTTTTTCTACAGGGTATCTTTTCCTGAGGATACATATGTTCACTGATCAAACAAACAAACCCTGTAAGTCAGGGGTCCAAGATTAGCAGAGATTGTACCCAGATCTGATTCTAGGTTCTATCACTCCCTTGTGACATAATCAGTGTCCAGAACCGTTTATGGAATAAATGAGATAGCTATGTAGTAAGGAATGTAACTGCTGCTTCAAAAGAAGTCCATCCTTTAACGTTCCTCTCCTCAGAAACAACCGCTAAGCCTTTGGGATGTCATGCTTGAATCCCCATTATGCCTTACATCTAACAATGAAATTTAGGCTGGGGTCAGCAACACCAGATAATTTTAGTATGAGGAATTGGTCATGCCAGAAAGACCAAGAGTGTGACTTTGGGTGGGGGCTTTGACTCATGAAGTATCAGCTGATCAATGGAGGGTTGGATGGGAGAATAGCCATGTGGGTAATCTCACACCTTCACAATGGAGCTCCGAACTCTGCATACTTGAATCAACACCTGACTGGCAATGCTGTGTGAACTGCCACATAGTGATACCATAAAGGGACAACACTGGTGTCCACTACTGCAACTGCGCCATGTCTGGCAGCCCTGTATCTGCCACATGCACTCTGCACACAGCTGATTTTAACCTTTATTTTACTGTGTAATCAGAACCATGAACATCATTCCTGTCAGTGAGTTTGAGGTTGGTTTGGGGTTAATAGTGACATGAGAGGTGGGGATGGTTTGTGTGGATGATGTTGTCCCAGCGGCAAACTCTTAGACTGACTTTTAAAGATATTAAAAGTTCTGACCATCTAGTGTGAGAAGTAGCATTTACTCACCTATGCAGCATTTATGGCAGCCTTTTGTATCAGGGATCTTTGTTGTTAAGGCAAACTTTCTGAAAATGTAAGACAATACGAATGAACTCCTTTGTGACATATGGTGATATATGAACCAGCTGTACCAGAATCAGACAGGAAGGGGCTTAAAAGCCAACCAACCAACCAACCAACCAACCAACCAACCAACCAACCAACCAACCAACCAACCAACCAACCAACCAACCAACCAACCAACCAACCAACCACCCACCCACCTTGGACTCTGACTTTAGACTTTGATTTTATAGAATGAAGAACTTGTTATAAAACGTTCATAAGTGATTTTCATGCAGGTAACATGAATGATTTCCGGTCTGGATGACACGTAAATTAAGAACAGGGAGCTGTTTCACCAGACGAGGAACACTAGCAGCTTAAAAACAGACACAAATAACCTCACCCCCAGTAGGATCAAGATGGTATTTTGTACCTTGGCAGAATGCGGTCAGGAAACCTATGAGTTTGTATATGGGCAGCTAACCCTGGTTTTCTGGCTTGTTCAAACAAAGCAATAAGATTGTGGGAGTAGAGCTGAAAGGTCTTTCCTGTAAAGGAGAAGGAAGTTACTTTTACTAGGATAAATTTCAGGAGAAAGAGACAATTTTCAAGTAAAAGAAAATGCAGTTAGCTAGGTGTGTCGGCACATGCCTTTAGTCCCAGGAATCAGGATGTGGAGGCAAGTGGATCTCTGTTGAGTTCAAGGCCAGTCTAGTCTACATAGTGAGTTCTAGTATACCCAACAGCTGCACAGTGAGACCCTCTCTCAAAAACACCAAAAACAAAACAAAACAAAAAAACACAATTACCTTCTGAAAAGATGAGTCCAGTAATATTCAAGGATCAAGCAGAAGAGAAAAATATGTAAAAACACAACAAACAAACTTGGTTAATATTTCAAAAGCAATGGATAAAATTACTTTTAAGCAAGTAGATCATTCTCTTTAGGCATATTCTGACAAATAGGTGATCTGGGAAGAATAAATGTAAAACTATTTGATGCTAGTGAAGAAAGAGAAACTGTTAAACATTGGTGTATACGTGTGTTACAAACAAAACAGAAAATTCTGTAATATTGTGACTATCTCTTTGGGACAAATCTATGCACCAGCAATCTATTGAATTACCTTCAATTAAAATTGATTGTGAATAAATTTTTAAATGTATAGATTGTAATACCAGGAAAAGTGAAATAAGACAGTACTACAAGCCCCAGTACAGTAAGGCATAACCCATACACATCCAATGTAGCCATGCTTAATAGGAGATATATACACAAATGTTGTCTGATTCCTCACAAGGGGTGTGACAGAATAACAACACTTGCCCTTTTCCTAGAGGAAACACATTACATAGGGTATTTTATCCTCATAACCGTTTCTCAGAATAGAAACATTCTGGCCAACACAGCATCTTCCTTTTCTCTCCATTCACTGTTCCTGATACCTCTGCTCTTTCCATTTTAGGGATAATTCTAACTGCACTACAGAAATAAACTAATCATAAACTATTTCCTGTCATCCCATTTTATTTCATGAAAATAAAAGGTGTACTACATGTGGTTTTAAAACTATGTCTGAAGACAGCCATGTCTAATGATAAACGTTGCAAGAGTTAAGAAAAGTTATTCGACATACAAAATTCTGATGCTCAGATGTGCAGAGGGAGGGCCTAGTAGACTAGTAGGAGACTCAGGTTTGAGAGGCCATGGATGTTTCTCAGGGGCCTTGGGGCTCATGGAGGTAAAGCAAAAGACAAGCAGTGGATCCCTTGCACCAAGATGGCCTGTCTGGTCAATGACATGAAGGTCAAATCCCTGGAGGGCCATCTGCCTCTCCCTGCCATCAAGGAATCTGAGACCATTGCCTTTTCCTGGAACATCCCTAAAGGATGAGGAAATAAAGATCATGCCAGCGCAGAAGCAGACTCACAGCAGTGGGCCAGCTTCAAGGCTTCTGTCACTACTGGGACAATGGTCATTCTGGTCTTGGTGTTAAGTGCTCCAGGGAGGCAGCCACTACCATCCAAGGAGCAATCGTCATGGCCAAGCTTCCACACTGTCCCTGTCTGGAGAGACTACTGGGGGAACAAGATAGGCAAACTCTATATCATTCCATACAAGGTGACAGGCCACTATTGCTCTGTGCTGGTGTGCCTCATCCCATTCCCAGAGGCCCTGGCATCATCTCTGCTCCTGTGCCCAAGAAGCTGCTGCTGCTGGCTGGTATTGAGACTGTTGCACATCAGCCAAGGGCTGAATGCCACCCTGGGCAACTTCACCTTTGATGTCATCTCCAAGACCTACAGCTACTTGACCCACACCTGGAAAAAGACTGTTCACCAAGACTCCCTATCAGGAATTCACTGCCCATCTTGTAAAAACCCAGCTATGGCTACCACCCAGGGGGTTTATACCAGAAAAAGAAACTCAATTAAGTCTGTTAAGAGATTCAGAAGTCATTCAAATAGAATTGGGTTTGTTTCTTTTCGAAAGAGTAATATATGAATATTTGCTAAATTAAATAAAAAATGACAGGCTAATCATAATTAAAACCAAAGTGATTAAGTGCTCTTTAGAGTAGTGATTCTTAAACTGGGGGTTGTGACCTCCTTGGGGGGATGGAATGACCCTTTCACAAGAGTCATCTAAGATCATTGGAAGATACAGATATTTACATCACAAATCACAACAGTAGCAAAATTACAGTTATGAAGTAGCAATGAAAATAATTTTATGGCTGGGGTCACCACAACATGAGGCAGTGTATTAAAGGGTCACAGTGTTAGGAAGGTTGAAAAGCACTGCTGTAGAGGATCCCCACTTCTTAGTAAGTCATTTACACACAAAGCTATTTTTCATAAACATTGTTATTACTCAAATACAGATTCCTGAAGTATCTCCACTGGGGAGAAATAACAATTAGCTATCTTGTACTACAAATGAAATCAATCAGTCTCCATGCAGCTACGTAAGCCCAATGTGTAAGAAAATATTATTTGGTGGGTGTGGTGGTTGAGTAAGAATGGCCTCCACAGGCTCATAAATTTGAATGCTTAGGCATTAAGGAGTGGCACTATTTGAAAGATAGTCTCCATGCAGCTACATAAGCCCAATGTGTAAGAAAATATTATTTGGTGGGTGTGGTGGTTGAGTATGAACAAACAAACAAACAAACAAACAAACCAACCCGACATGCTAAAATCAGAACAGCTGCTCAAGAGTCTCCTTGTTTAGATAATCGCTCTCTCTCTCCTTCTCTATCTCTCTCTGTGTTTGTGTGTGTATTTGTGCGCGCGCTTGTATGAGTGCAGATTCATGTGCATGTGTGAGCCAGAGGTCACTATTGAATGTTGTTCTTCAGTCAATGTCTCTCTTGATTATGAGATAGGTTCTCTCCATGGTCTGGACCTCCCCTACCAGGTCGGTTTGTTGCCTCGTGAGCCCCAAGGAACCTCCTGCCTCTGCCTCCCTAGTACTGGAATTACAAGTGTGCACCACCACACCTAGCTTTCTCCATGGATGCTGGGGACAGAACTCAGGTCCTCACGCTTGTTAGAAAGCATTCTTCAGACTGAGCCATCTGTCTCCCTGGATTAGCACTCAAAAGCATCGTCTAAGGCAGCCATATGTAACAACATCTGTTTAAGGCTTTACAATTTACTCAGCACTCTGGGCTGTTTTACTTAACCCTCACAACAATCTCATGAGACTGGTTTTTGTTGTTGTTTTGTTTTTAATGCCACTGTCCTGATTTGATAATTAAGAAAATTGAGGTTAAAGTGGGTGGATGGCTAGCATTCATGGAGAAAGGAGGTAGCTTGACCCCCTGCTTCCTCCCTCTGCATGGCTAACACTCAAAGGGAGACAGAGTGCAGCAGCAATGGGCCTGGTGTGGAAGGGAATGGGCTCAGCAGGTCACCACAATGTCCCCTCCCTCGGGGGTCCAGACACTGGGGAAAGGGGTGGGGAAATGCAGCCCTCACAGAAGACAGGATCCCTTCTCAAACAGCAAATGGCACTGTCGTACAGTGCACACTAAATTTCATTTCATTGTTCGTCTATTGGTTTCATCACCATGCATACCTGATAATGACATCAGTGTGTTATTGATGACATACAGCCAGGTACATTTCCGTGGAAACAACTGAAGAGGAGGAGGAGGAGGAGGAAGAAGATTATTAAACTGTAAAGCTTTGATTCTCTCCTCTTACCCTGCCCCCAAATCCCCACACAATAAAGCAGTGCTGCTGGCAGAGCATGGGCCTAGCATGCATGGGGCCCTGGGATTGATCTCAGTACCATGCAAAACAAAACTAACAGTACTATAAAAATTTTGGTAATTTCTTTGGGAAAAGTACCAAAACCTTAAGAGAGAAAAAAAAAATCTTTCAACATGAACATGAAGACAGTACCGTGTCAACCATTTAAATATTTAGACCATAAAAACTAAGATTAGAACTGGTACAAATGGATTTAAAATTATGATAATTCTTTTATCCAATTTGTTCAGACTAACTCTTTAAGTTAAAAATTTTATTACCTGTTCCATAGTCGCCTCATGCAGCTCATTAAGATTCAATGTGTAAATACCATCTTCAGTTCCAAAAATAATGTACTGATCTATAATAGCAAGTTAGCAGACTTAGTATCATTTTCTGAAGTTGCACACTCAGATGAGAGCTCTATGTAGTGGTGATATCAGCATTACACGCCCACACATGCACCAAACAAAGTACAACGGTTTTTAAACATTTGTGCTACCATGTCTCTTTCCCGTGTTTTAAGAGGTAAACAGAAGCTGTGTAAGGCTTCACTATTTAATGCTGTCTTTAACTGAATTTTAAACTGTTGTTATGGTGGTATGTTTTTGCAAGACACACCAAATACTCAAATATACATTAAATATAAGCCATAAACCATGACATACAACAAATAATGAGCACATCTTTTCAGATGTTGGTTTCTAAATACTATTACATTAAAAAGAGCCAGAGCTTCTTGGAGAAAAGACTGATTCTAAGGAAGGAAAAGTGAACTAGCAGGACAGTAAGGGACTGTCCTCACACTGAAGGAGACAGGTACTGCCACTGCCTTCAATCCTGGAAAAATATTAAGTGTTAAACAAGTCACAGTGATAGATGCATCTGACTGAGCACGGCTCAAGCATCCAAACTGACTAAACTGACATGGAGTTTTCAGCTGAATGTTAAGAGTGGAGAAAGTAAAATGAGTGGAGACAGCAGAACATAAATATGGACAAGCTTCCCGATCTATCTATCTATCTATCTATCTATCTATCTATCTATCTATCTATCTATCTATCTATCTATCTAATGATGTCATCTCAGTACAGACCAGAGTGGTCTTGAATTGCATCTTCTTCATGCACACTCCAAGCTAAGCTATGAGCACAAACCCCTTTGCTCCTAAATATTTCAGTGTATATTTGGTTTTTCTTTTTTAAAACCAAGTTTTATACAATCATAGAACACTGAGACTGAAACACTAGTACCCACCACCTATGGACCTCAATGGCTGGTTATGAACTGTCTCATCTTTACAAATTAAGGATACATAGTTGTGATATCTCTTTTAGCCTCCTTCACAAGAAAAGTTCCTATACACTATTTAGGTTTAATGTACTTGAACCAAATCCTACCGACTTAGTTAGCTTGTCATAAGGCCCTATCTCATTTAGTATCTAAGGTGACAATTTTAAAGTTAACCACCTTAATTCACTAATTATAAAGCTATTCCATACAGTAAACATTTTATAGGGGGTATATATACAATTCAGAACTCGTACCTTTTGTATCAGGGTGTATCCAGGATGTTGCACAATTGATTTTCAAAGGGCAGCCATCAAATACTTTGGAAAAACACGCTCCCATCTTGTTTATAAAGAAAAAAAAAATGGCTTATTTTATCATGTAATTTTAATTTTCTTAGAAAATCATGCATCATCAAACTTTTGAAGAAACCTTTGCAGTTTTATCTCAAAACAATACACAGATCTTAACACAGCCAAATGTTTTTTACTGAGTCACGGTCTTCGCTTTCTTTCCACTTTAGGGTCAATGTATCAAATCTATCAATCTACTTAGTGAGCTTCAGGAATTTAAGTTAAAGTGAAATAAATGATATTTGATTTTCTTCAGCATCACTGCAGTGTAATTCTACAATATACGCAACTGACAAAAAGAGCAAGTTTCTATTCTGGACATTAACTAATAAGTGAGTACAATTCACAAAGTACCACCATTCCCATGGTCAGCAGCTCCACCTCACAGATACATCTCACCATAAGAGGACAGAGAAGTGTTAGTCTAAGTTTCCTTCTTTCTTTTCATTGTGTACAGCTCAGGGTGAAAATGGTTGCAAGGGGAAAAAGGCACTTACCACATAAGGAAGAAGGCCTAGTATTAATATCACAGTAAAATTAAATGGTGTTTAGACCTAATCTGAGAACCCACTGACAGAATTTATGAATCCTCAGTTTTGTTTTTCTTTTTGTTTTTTTCTCACCCCCTTTTCTTCTTCTTCTTCTTTTAAAAATAGCTGATTGCTTAGATGTAGCCTGGAACTTGTTATGTGCGCCTGGCTGACCTTGAACCTTGAACTTTCTGCCTTAGTCCATGGAGTGCTAAGGTTATAGACCTGCCATTACACCCAACTTGGTCTCTAAATGTTAACCAATCCCCTCAAATTGGAGTCTGTGGTCTGACTACAGCACATTCAAATCTATTCACCAACTTTATTTTCTACAATATTCTTTCTTTTAGTGGTTCAAAGGAGAGCCTTCATCCTGTTGTTGTTCAAAGCAGAAACAGACACCCACAGCTAAGCACTGAATCAT